TATTATGCATCAATTTTAAAAATTTCTAAAAAACAAAAACACAAAAAATGTTTATTGTTGTATGCCAAGGTTTCATGTGCTATGCAGCAAAAGCTGACTGATATATACATATACATACACATACACACACACACACACACACACACACACACACACACATGTTCCCTAACTTAGGATGGTTAGATTTAATGATTTTTCGACTTTACAACAGTGTGAAAGAAATTACATTCAGTAGAAATCGTACTTTGAGTACCCATACAACTATTCTGCTTTTCACTTTCAGTATAGTATCCATTTAATTACATGAGATATTCAATACTTTACTATACAATAGGCTTTGGTTTAGATGATTTTGCCCAACTGTAGGCTAAAGTAAGTGTTCTGAGTATGTTTAGAGTAGACTAGGCTAAGCTATGATGTTCCACAGATTAGGGGTATTAAGTGCATTTTCAACTTAGGATATTTTCAACTTATGATGCATTTATTGGAATGAAACCTCATCATAAGTAAAGGAGCATCTGTAGTTTACTAATAAATTATTTGGCTTGGTTCAGAAAATAGTTAATTTCCTAAAATTTCTTCTCAATCCTATTCTCCTTGAGAAAATGGGTTTAAATTCAGAGATACTGAGTCTTCCGATGTAAGGGGGGGAAAAGGACAGATCCAAGTTAGGATGCACAAAATAAGCATAACCAGCTGATATAACAAATGCCAAGCTAGTAGTTTTTGAGAAAAAAGATTCAAAACAATCATAAACAATAGTTGGAGCTATTTATTTGTTCCTCATAATAATTTCAGTTTTTCATAAGAAACAAGTTGTTTCCTAAGTATATCATAAAGCATACTTGTTATCTTCCTCTTACTTTTTAAAAAAAACAGAAACCCGTCTTGACTTTTCTAGCGAATAAAACAACACTGACCATTTTAAGAAGGGGAAATATTTGTATTGCCATTTATACCTTAATTTTGCATATTGCTTTATAGCTTACAAAACATTTTCATTAATATTTTCTCATTTGATCTTTATTTCAGTCCTGTAAAGTTGAGAATTACAACTTCACTTTTGCTACTAAAGAAAAATGAAGCTTTGAGTAAAGTACTTGCCCAAGATTGCTTTGCTAAAAAATTACAAAAACAGAACTAGAACCCAAATCTTCTATCTTTAAGCTAGCACTTTTTTCCACTGCATTCTTCTTCTTCTTTTTTTTTTTTTTTTTTTTTTGAGACAGGGTCTTGCTCTGTTACCATGGGTAGAGTAGTGGTGTCATCACAGCTCACAGCAACTTTAAACTTCTGGGATCAAACGATCCTCCTGCCTCAACCAAGTAGCTGGGACTACAGGCCTGACCACAACACCCAGATAATTTTTCTAGTTTTTGTAGAGATGGGGGGGGTCTTGCTCTTTCTCAGGCTGGTCTCAAACTCCTGACCTCAAGCGATCCTCCCACCTAGGACTCCCAGAGTGTGAGGATTACAGGCGTGAGCCACTATGCCCAGCCTCCACTACATTCTTAGATGCAAATGAAATGTGCAAATGCCAAATATATTGCCCAATCACCAAAATATTTCCTTTGTCTTTCCCTGCCATATTTCTCATGATCCATCCTTTCCTGCCCTCTCTCCAGAAATGCATGTAAAATAAGTATTACATATTTACTTAAAACCAACAGTTCATATAATGGATATAAGATAAAGAAGAATTAAATATGTAAACCTGTTATAAATACAGCTTTCTATAGCTATTTTAAGATGTCTTTAAAATAATCTTTTCTCTTATTAAGAATGATTAGAACTTCTTTCAAGCACAAAAATGTCCTTTTTTTTTTTCAGAAACCATATCCTAAAACTTTAAAAATAAATAAATAAAGGCATTTTCTTTCGGGTATATATGTATTTTCTATTTCACTTTTTTTCTTCCTAAAACCCTATATTTCTTTCTTCCTAAAACCTATTCCTAAAATCCTATATCTCTTTCTTCCTCTACTCTTCTTGCTATCTTTAAAATTTTCCCTTAATGCTTATATAATAAAAAACTTGAATACATTGTTATTGTACTTATTGATATGCTTATTGAAGAGTTGTTTCTTATTCTTAATTTTATAAGTAGAAAAATAGGATAATTTGTATATTCTTCACAAAATATAATAAAAACTTCTAAATTTTAAAAACATTCTTATTCTTGACTATACCATGAACCCCTTCCCAGAATGTTTTAAATGTATAAATTAAAATTTTAAATGCATAGGATTATAAAGGCATCCAATTATAATAAATACAGCTTGATATCATTGAAAATCAATTATTTTTCAAAGCCAAATTACTCAGAGTACATGGAGTAGATTCCAGTTAAGAATTCCAACTCTAAAAACCTTCACAAAAAATTATAACACTGTAGGATAACTAGTGCTTTCATAACATAGATTATTGTTTGACAATAGTTCTACAAGGTAGGTACTATTGTCATCATTATATACAGCATGAGAAAAGAAGCTTAGAGAAACTAAGTAAGACTCAAAGGAACACAGCTACCAAGAAATGAGTCCTGAGGCTTTCTCCAAGGCTCAGGTTCCTACCACCCATACCTTCTCATTGCCACTGGCACCACTCAACTCAGGACTTTTCTTAGCTCATTCCCAGCCACCAAAATGGCTTCCTAACTCCAACACTTTTCCTATCCATTCCAACCTTCATTGATACCCTACTGCCCACATGATTGAGTGTAGGTTTTTGAATCAGGAATTCCAGACCCCAACTTTGAAGCCATAGAAAACATATATCTTACATTCTGCTGTTAACACCAGCTATTCTCCTACCACTCCCAACCCTCATTAATGTTGGAATGTCCTCTACTATTGCCTATTTAAATTCAATTCATCTTTCCAAGGATAGCTTAAATAATACAATCTCAGTGAAGCTTTCAATATCCAGCCAGAAGTGATCTTTCCTCCCTCTGCATTCTTATAGCTCTATAAATGTAGAAAGACACTTATTAAACATGTCCATGACATGTAATTATTGGTGCCTTGGAATTTTTTTTTCCATTCCTCAAATATTTCACACTCATGTCACCTTCATGCCTATGCCGGACTCACCACCTAGAATATGGAATACTCTTTTTCCCTTGACTAACTCCTGCTTTTTCTTTAAGTCTTGATTCAAAGGAAAGTTACCCTAGAAAGCCTTCCTTTACTACCTAATCCTAACTCTGGATCAGATGCCCTCGGCTGTGTGGATACCACCATGGATACCAACTAGTAGGCTGTTACTTGTTTGTTTTCCCACTAGACTCTCAATTTCATCAGAGAGTGTGTTTATTTTGTTCACGGGTGTATCTCACATGCTTGGCATGTAGTTGGAAAATTTCAAAATGAATTTACAATAAAATTTTCTTTATTATCCTGTTTGATTAATCCAGAAACAAATGTTGAAGTACAGGGCTTTACAAATAGCAAGTACTAATTAAATAATAGTTGGATGAAGAAATTCTTGTGGCAAATGTCCTAAATTATCTTAAATATTCAAACAATATGAATTGAGCAGCAAAATAATATAAATATGAATACTTGATAATGTCTACTATAAACATGGTAAACATTTCAAATTCGTTTTAATACATGTGTTAAAAATTTAATAACTGAATCAAACCTAAGAAGTCAGCTCAATAACTTGAGTTATTGTGAGCCATTTTAATTTGTGATAGTCATTTGCAGCTAACTGCATTCCTCAATTATTATTTTTTTGTACTATAAAGCTCTAAACTCCATATTACCTAGATTCTTTATCATCTGGGTTCATTTTCTGTACTATCTCCATGTACCAACTGCTATCGTAGAAAAACCCATTTTTGCCATTTTTAAAGTTTTCACTCTCCCACCATCAAGCTTCCTCTTCATTCTATAATATATAAAATGCCTATTCATTTATTCATTCCTTAAAATAATAATCATAGTTCACTTCATCCACAATGTCTCTCTTCATTCAAAAGAACCTAGCTCAGACTTAGCTTTAATTTACTCATCCAGCCAACATATCCCTCAAACTCCTGGGCTCAAGTGATCCTCCCACCTCAGCCTCCCAAATGCAGGGATTACCGGTGTGAGTCACTGTTCCTGGCCTCTAAAATTCTTTAATCCTAAATATTTTCTACACCATAGATCTTAAACATAGTGTTATTGCAAGGCCCTAGTGTCTCCTCCCTATATTTTTAAGTGCCTTTTATCTATCAAACTGCAATAAAAATGCTTTAAAAAGTCCAGAATTTTATATCCATGTTGCAGAATTTAAGTTTTTAATACTATACCCTTAATTATCAATGACAATTCATGTTTAACGTGTTTATTTTACAGAAATCACAAATTATAACTATCTCTTACCTCAGTAATAATGTAAGGACAATTATATTTTGAAAAAAACTAAGAAAGATAATAGAACTCTTTGAACATTTAAAGAGTTAACTATAAACCGTGCTGGTATACTTAACCAAAAATGATAAATATAAATCAAATCCTATTAGAGGACAATTATAAACAGCAATGAGACGCCTCTGCAGTGTGCAGGACTGGGATTTGGAGCCAGAAGAGCTGGGGATAAATACCTGTCTTTTGGCTCCAGAATCCCAAGCAAATCAAACTAACTATCTGAGTATCTGAGCCCCAAGTGCCTTCTTTGTAAAATGAAGACAAGCATAATAAAAGAGTTATATATAATGCCTATAGAAGTTACCTAATGGAGTGCCTGGGACAAAATAGGTTCTCAAATACTTGTCTAATAAAAATAGTTGCATCATTGTTGCTTTTGTTAAGGCTATAAACCATATCTGAACTTATTTCATTCATCTAAAATTTTGTTACATTGCATGTATAACCGCCCTATGTTATTTTTATACTACATATGAAAAAGGTGCTTATTGCCCCCAAAAGTCTATTTGTTAGCATAGTCCTTTCCACTATAAATATCCAAAAATTAGTTATCTCAGAAACTTAGGGAGAAAGCATACTTACAAAGCACACCCCCAAAACTCCGTGTTGCTCTCCTCTGAGCTTAGTGCTCTTCTTAGGCACATATGTCTGCCTCCTATCATTTCTTCATGAGGTTCGGGGCAAAAGGCCTAGTTAAGGAGATGATCTTTAGTTGCCCCTACACTTTCCCCAAACCACCTACAGACAAATAAAACAAGAGCGTAAAACATACCTACAACTTTAAACTTTTTTAAATAATAAAATATGAAAATTAGCTCACCCTCCTTATGTACAGTTTATAGCATATCACAGAACAGAGAAAATGCTCCTAGGGTCATCCAAAAGCCCAAGTGACCTCACTGGAATCCTTGACATCCAAGAGCCCAGCCAACATATCCCTCACTGACGGCTTCCACCCATGCCTTGTCACCCCTTGAGCTTGCTAGATCATGCTGCAGTGTGAATTGTAGCCCAAGTCTAGCCAAAAGTAGCATATCTAATAGTTAGTAAAACAAGTCAGGTAACGCAACTAACATTTACTTCTGAATGTAACAGCCCAATTGTATTTCTAAGGTAGTCTAATACTCCCAAAAGAAATATTTTATAAGCTGTCCAGTTCCTCCACATTTAGTACTGCAACTAAATAAATAAAAATAAAATGTCTTTGGTTGCAGGAAAGAGCTGTGGATAGAAATATTTTCAATTCTTTGTGACTGCTTTCAAAGTAACTGTAAGAATCCACAGAAAGTCATCCAGAGAATGGGTAGTTGTTCACATATAAGGTAGATCTGGGAATATATCTACAAACCATTTCAAGAAAAAAAGCTATCCTGGAAAAGTTAATCAAAACAAAGTGTTGAGTGGCAATTTAAAGTGATCCAGATTATGCAACGGCAGAGAAGACACAGGCACAATGCACACTTTACTCTTCTAACAAAGCAGCAACCTTGACTCCATGAGATGAGTCATAGGCACAACCAAATTTCTCTGTAGCAATGTGAAAGCACCAATGCTTTAATCTTCTCTTTGTGCTATCCTATATAGTAGTCACTAGCTACATGTGGCTACTGAGCTCTGGTCAGTTCAAATTGGCATGTGTTATGAATGTAAAATACATGCCAGATTCTGAAGAATGAGTACTATTTTTTTAAAAAAAGAATATAAACTCTCTCGACAAGTTTTATATTTACTACATGTTGAAAACATTTTTAAACTATTGTGCTAAGTAAATTATTAAAATTAATTTCACCACTCTCTTTTTATCTTTTTAATGTGAGTACTACCAAATTTTAAATTATCTTGTGGCTCACACTGCACTTCTATCAGATAACAGTGTTCTGCATAATTAATAAAAGTAAAAAACAAATGCTGACCACCTGCACAGTGTCAGGCACTGTGCTAGATACTTTACATAATACTTATATCAACGCTGCAAATTAAAATGCGGGTCAAGTTTGACGTCTGCGTAATAGACTAGCTCCATCAAACCAATAAAAGATGCAGCTGGGATTCCATATCAAATATTTCTACGAAATAATTCAATTAAGGGATTGCTAACAGCTAAGGTTGAGGCAACTCCCATAACGGCACAGGAAAGACAGGTCACTGATACAGTGTTCCCAAGGGCAGCAAACTTTCTGTGACTATAAAACAGGTGCAAAAAACATCAAGTTACACAGCGAGACAGGCAAGCAAACGTCAGACAGTTTTTCGGAGGGCCTACAAAAGAAGTCCAGTCTCCTAGACAACTAAAGCTTCACAGATACTAGCGGCAGGGCAAGCTGCTCCCAAAGGAAGGACAACGTAGACCAAAGTCACTAGATAACTTAGCCAGGACCTGACTGTGGACACCCATGCCTAGGGAGGGAGGCCTCGGGATGTCAGGCACACCCTCTCCCCTCACCTCGGCACACACTCCACCCACCCACAGCCCCATCCCAGAGCTTCGCGCATCTACGGTGTCCCCCCCTACGGAAAGGGGGAAGTGGGACCTAAAACGCTATGGTAAGATAAGGAAGTGACAGAGAAAGGACAAGGGAGGCAGTGAGGGGGCAGGTACCTGAGACAGACGATGACCCCAGGTCCTTAATGCCGGATCATCGCCGAGGCTTCACCCGGCTCCCGCGGCTACCAGTGACCTAGAAGGTGCAACTGACCAAATGCTGCGGAGCAACCGACTCTGGTCTCCCCAGCCTCGCAGCTATGGCAACTTGAACTAGCCGCCCAGCCACAGCGAGAGTACAGGACCCCGCCGCTGCCGCCGCTTGGCCCTCTGGGAGTTGTAGTCCATCCCCACCTCAAGGACAAAGAGTTACCAAGGAAGAGCCGCCCGGAAAGAAACTGCAAGTCCCAGAATGCCACAAGACAGGCCTTCGGGTAATTTTTCCGGAAGAGGCCGGATTAGCGGGCACCTGAGTCCCTCGGCCGCGCCCTCTCACCCTGTTCTTAATGTTTTTTTAAAGGGCCAGTAGTCTCTGTTAAGAGGCAAGCTCCAGATAGAAAGTGAATTAGCAGCTGCCTTGGCCCCGACTGTAATTTTACTCCCTAGAGGACAGGGAAGGATAATTTCTAGCAGTGAAATGTAAAAATTTCCTTAATGCCAGCGCCCATTATCTTGTTTTAAAGGTTCACAAATTCTTAGAACTAGAGGAGAACAGATAAGATTATCTAGACAAACCTTTTAGACCTGGAAGGGTAAGTGACTCACCTAAGATCACACGGTTTAGCTCATTCCCGACAAACTAAAAGTAGAATCTGAGGCTGTTAATGCACTACTGCGGCTACTTCAGTCTAGGGTGTCTTCTCATTCATTCCAGAATATGAAAGAAATATTTTTACCACTCAGAAGTTGGTTTCAGTCATGGAGAGGTAATAAAAACCTTAACAAGGAGCTGAACTTTGGAAAAGCTAAGAAGAAGCAACGATAAAATTAGTCATGTGGATGGTCTTTTTCTTCTACTCTGCCGAAAAGGCCACTGACCCTTCCCTTCCCTCTCGAGGCTAAAATCAAACTTTATCTGTGAAAGCTTTCCTGGCTACCTCAAGAAACGCTAGATCATGTTAAATGACAAGAGTTCCCTATTCTAATAATTCTATACTGTAAAAATCCATTTCCCTGTTGTTCCCCTCTAAAAAGCTTTCTCTTCTCACCCTTTTCTCACTTCCCCTTCTTCCTTCTTATCTCTTTTCTCTCTCCCTCCTTCTCTCTCTTTCTGTCATGTACACACATACACAGAGTCATAAATGATTAGCACACAAATTTGATACAGTAGAATCATTCAGATATTTTTTCTGGCCAACACTGAGAGGTAAAGGCCATCTCATATCCAGGATGAACATAAAATAATTCTTCTAAAGATCTACCTATGTATTTCCATCTATCATCAAGCTGCTTGTTCACAATTGTTACTCAGGAATACACTCCACCTGAGATAGAAATTAAGATAATTCATAATAGCCAGAAACTTCCCCATATGCAAGCAGAAGCATAAGAATAATTCCATGCATTGTTAACATTTTAATTTTCAAAGCAATTATATTCATTCATATAATTCAGCAAATGAATGTTGGATCTTTTTAGAATCCAGATATTGTATTAGATACTGAAGAAGCAGTGGTAATGAGGAAATAAACAACATAGGCCTTGCCCTCAAGTTGCTCAGTGCCAAATGAGAAAAATAGACTAATAAATTATTACAAAGCTAGGTGATAGAACACTGTATAGGTTTCGATGGAAAGTCATAAAAGAGAAATTTCCCGAGGAAGTGATATCTGACGAATTGTAGGAGAAATGAATACCAAAAGAGCTAATATAACCTTGAGCTGCATTCATAAAAATTGATTGTCCACAACCTCTCTTCACTGGCTCAACTATATTTAGAGAGTTGGATTCAATTGTAGGGACCCCATTTTTAAAGTGATATTAACCAAATGAAGCAAAAATCAGAGAACACAACTGGAACCAAAAAATCAAAAATCAAATTTGAATTTATTATAACCAAGAAATTTTAAATACATTATTAAGTTCATAGCAGCTGCTTGCCATATGGTGTATTTGGTGCATTCTCAATTGACAGATGTGACATCCAGAAAAAATCTAGTAAGTCAGATCACAGAATCTTCCTCCTCTATGTAACAAAATAGACAAAATAAGTTAAAACCAACAAATTAATTTAGAACCAACAAAATAGATTTTATACAAAATTGTCTTGTAACTCCCAAATGATATTACTTTTAATTGATGTGGCCCACACGTTATCCAACCACCACACCACAATCCAGCTGAATCTCCTGAATTTACAGTCGAAAAAACCCACAAAGATTATCATTTGCATACCCTTCTTTTGCAAACCATGTAAATAGGGGCACACAGAGGTTACATGATATATCAGTTTACTAGGAATGTCATAACAAACTACCGCAGAATGGGGGACTTAATCAACAGAAATGTATTTCTTACAGTTCTGAAGGCTGAAAGTCCAAGATGAAGGTGTCAGCAGGTCTGGGTTCTCCTAGGTTTCTCTCTTTGGCTGGCAGATAGCCAGCCATCTTTTCTCTGTATCCTCAAATGACCTTTCCCCTGTGTGCACATGTACCTGGTTTCTCTTTCCTCTGAGAACACCACTCATTGAATTAGGGCCCCATCCTATGACTTCATTTGACCCTAATTACCTCCTTAAAGGCCCTATCTTCAAATACAGTAACATTGGAGGGGTTGAGGTTTCTATACACAATTTCCTCAAAATTGTACCCATTCAGGATTAGTGTCATAAATGATCTTCTCACTACGTAATACCTTGGTAGAGGAAGAGGTGGCAGATACTTTTGGCATGCCTCCCCCATATCACCCCTTAACTGTGATCCTGCTCTCAGTGTTGGGCCCCCAAAGCCTTGTTTATGTTATACCTATAACATAAGCCCCTACCTCTCTTACGCTGGCTGATTAGACAAGTAGTAGACAGACACTCAAAACAATTTCAGCCAATAAGGCTCTTTATCCTCTGAGAACTTTAAGATTGGACTCAAGCTCCCATTAGTGCCTGAAAGTCTTGATGAACAGCTAAGAGCTGGGGCTGTCACAGTGAGGTGGCCATCTTCATCTGTGTTCAAGAAGAAACTGATAAAGCTAATCTTGAAGGAGTGGGAAAGAAAGAGAAATGAGTAAAGCAGCAAGAGTAAATTGTGCAGACACAGAAGGAATAAGCCTAAGAGAATAGAGCCCTGTTCCTAACAACTTCCAAGTTCTTGTCTCCAGTCCCTTATTCCTACTTGTATTTCCTGTACTTGTTTTCCATGATATACTAGAGGCAGCTGGATGGTGGTTCAATGCACAAATACTAGACTCAGACCACGTGGATTCAAGTTTTAGCTGTAATACCCATCAGCTATGTGACCTCAAGAAAGTTACTTAATCACTCTGTACCTTCATTTCCTCCTCTTCCAAATGGGGGTGGTAAGGATAGTACCTCATGTGTAGAGTTGTTTGGAAGATAAAATAAATTAATATGTGTGAAGCACTTAGCCCAGTGCATAGCTCATAGTAAGCACTCAATGTATGTTAGCTGGTGTATACTGTGATATCCTAAAATGTCAGTTTCATGAACACTGGAACTTTATTATTTTGTTCTAGATGCTTAGGACAAAGAATATACCTTATTATCTTGTGATGATTTCTCTTCTGAAGCTTAAACTAAGTTCTGTTGATTGAAATGCAAAAAGGCTTGACTAAGATTATACTGGTGAAGCCTAACAGTCCAGTATGTCAGCCCTAGATCCACATCTAGTTTCTTATGAGGTCCACATCTAGTTTATTAAGATGACATTGGTGAAGCCTAACAGTCCAGCCTGTGAGATCTGAAATCCACATCTGATTTCTTTGAGCAGTTTCAACAGAAACACTTGTGAACCACACCAAACATTAAACACCTACCCAGGCTAATCAATAAAGAGTTCTGGGATGGGACCAGTCTAAAAGCATTAGCACAATCATCATAACCCAACTCATCTACAGTGGATAATTGTAGACAAAGGAAGACAGCTATTACATAAGAAGCTGCAGACGGCAGACAGAGGTAGTGCTAATTTAAGGAGAAGGGACAAAATTTGTATTTCACCAGTAACTTGCAAACTCATACTATGATGAAACAACAACAGAAGACTGATTATGTCCATGTGACAGAAAAATAAATTTGAAATAATAACCAAAATTTTCTTCAAATATTTATTTTTTCCCCTTTGGCCCTCCCACTACCTCCATTTCAGCCAGCTAAGCTGTTCTGCACTCATGGCTGAGAGATGGGATGTGACCATAGAAAGCAAAAAGGGAGAGGAAGTGAGGGAATAAAAAGAGAAGAAGAAAAAGAAGTAATTTCCTCTTGGCTTTGAGTATTAAACATAAATATTTCAGACAGGACTGGATATGGATTTGTGGGCCTAGTGCAAAATGAAAATGTGAGGCCCTTGTTCGAATCAGATTAAGAATGTCATTTTTGACAACAGCAGTGCATCAAACCAAGAAACAGGTCCTTCTGAATACAGGACCCTGTGGAACTGAGTGGGTCACAGACCCATGAAGCCAGCCCTGTTCTCACAAAGGAGTCAAGGTATAAGCAAAGGACTTGGAAGAAAATAGTATGAACCACAGTGCTCCTCCAAAAGAAAAGATTCCTGACGGGGCATGTGTTAACAAAGAGAGAAGAAGGGGGTCCTGGAAAAGGAGGAATAGGAGAGGAGTATGGAGGGAGGGGTGGACCTGAAAGTATAGGGAAAAAGTCCATATTCATATAGTACACAGCCTCCACTCAATAAAGTACTATTTATAACCTGAACCTAGCTGTTCTGCCCATTGGCATCAGGGAAGGATGTCATTTCAAAAGCAGCCTGCCTTTTGCCCAGGGACTAACCAGCACAGGTGCTAACCACCGATATTAAATTTTGCTTTGTTCCATCTGGCCACCACAGATGGTCAAGTTCCCTTGTAATATCACAGGACCACTATAAGTCATAAGAAAGAAGGCACCAAGTATGATGTTAAAGGTAAGGTAAAAGGGAAATCCCCAATATGCTGGTATGGTAGGACTGAATGGAACTACTCAAAATTGTCTCTCAACCAAGACAGTGGTCCAATCCACTCTGTACACCAGCAGGAGACAATCAAAAGTGGTTGTTGACTCTTTCTACATCAAGTTTTCAAGCTTGTCTAAGAAGCAAGTCTAAGTCAAAATAAAAAACAAGATGTTGCAACCATGG